TGTGTTATTGTTACTTATTATTTGGTCCCACGTTGTGTTATATTTCCCAAATTAATCATTATTCTATAATTTTCATTTTATAAATTCAGTACTTGTTCAGGATTTTCTCACATTTACCGGTTTTCTCTGTTCACTATTGCTTCTTAGAACTTAACTCTTTTCTTGTGAGTTCAGTTTATTTCTGAAGTGCCTCCTTTAGATGTCTTTTTAACAATGCTTAATGAATAGTAAACTCCCTTTGTCTTAAAATCCCTTTATTTTGGATTGCATATTCATTGTTAATTTAGCTATCATAGATATATCTGGTTATGGAGTGGTTTATCTTTTTATTTTAAAATAAAACATGCAAAAACAAAAAATAAATGTACAGATTAGGGGTTATTATAAGGCAAACACTTATAACCATCACTCACGTTAAGAAATAAGAATTTGCCACTCATGGGTATATTTTTATTTAGTTTGCTTGGGACTTTTGCAGTATTTTCTCAAATATATCTTCTAGTTTGCAGATTCTCTCTTTAGTTGTGTCTACTCTGTTTAATCAGCCTGTTTTTTATTACTGTATTTTTTTCATTTATATAGTTCTATTTGCTTTTTCTTATCTTTCTAATCTTTTCTGTACTGATATGTTGTTTTATGGATATTGTCCTTCATGTCTTTCATCTTTTACAACATACTAATCTTTTATAGATTGTTGTTCTAGTATTTCAAGTAATCCTTCTGTTTGGTTTGAGGAGTCCAGTTCACATATTTAGAAATTTTGAGACTCAAGGGCTTTCTGTATGTGAACCCTGATCCAGCTAGGTTGTGGAAATTTCTCTGGTTCTGTCATGTGTTCCAGAGTAGCACCATGTTGACCAGATTTTCTCACTTCCCCATACCATGGAGGACAAGAATAAATTCAGGCCCTAAATCTACAAGAGGCACAAGCCTCGGGATTTGATTTCACAAGGGCAATATTTATGTGTTTGTTTTCTAAGCTAAGGCCCTCCCTTTGTGCGGCTGCAGCATAGGTCGTATGCCTACCTCACTGGTTTTCTGCACCCTCTTCATGGCTGGCATCTAGGGATTCCCCTTTCTTTCTTGTGAACACAGTCATAGATGATTAGCAGTACAATATTTACTTCTTTTATTTTATTTATTTATTTATTTTAAAGATTTTATTTATTTATTTGAGAGAGAGAATGAGAGACAGAGAGCACGAGAGGGAAGAGGGTCAGAGGGAGAAGCAGACCCCCCGCTGAGCAGGGAGCCCGATGCGGGACTCGATCCCGGGACTCCAGGATCATGACCTGAGCCAAAGGCAGTCGCTTAACCAACTGAGCCACCCAGGCGCCCAATATTTACTTCTTTTAAAAAATCAAACATTTCTAGATACTTGTGAGGAGATTTGTCAAAATTAGGATGGGAAAAAACACAAGAGGGAGAAACTTCTCATTGGTAAATTTATATTTAACTTACAAATTTATCATAAACAAGTAAGATCAGAATAAAACATTAGCAAATGAAAGCTAGGGATGATTTAACCTAGTATTTATTGAGAAATGCCTAAGAGTTTGGATTCTCCCTTAGAAGGAAACCAGTTTTTTGTCCAGTGCTATCTGATCTTTTTCTCTAAGGAACAGTGAAACCTCCTTGATCAGCTGATTACTTAAGCACAAGAATACTCTGTATTATCTGCCAGGATGGTACACACACACTGCTTTTACCATTTTTACATTCAAGTAAATTCTCATTCACAATCTTTTAACTCTGTGCTAGCTTTAATCAGTAATGTTGCTTATAAAATAGTGTGGACTTAAATGCTACATAGGTTGATTGCCTTTTCTCCTTGAGAGGAATATTACCATAAAAATACTTTGAACAAATAATAAACAACAGAATTTAGCTCTGTTATCCTAGCCTTTTTATATCATAGTTCATAAAATATTACCTAGAAATATTTCCTGCCCCCACTACTGACCTTCCCCTGTCATACCTCATCAGTTTATCTTCTTGGTAGAATTATTTGAAAGGCATTTAGTTTACACTCCCAATAACATGCCTAGGCAGATAAACACAAATTGAAAAGTAAATTAGGGATATGTTTACAAATAAAAGATAAAACTCTTAGGAAGTCAAGGCTGATACACCATAAGTTAAAACCCAGAGGGAGCAACACTTCCACTGAGAAAGAGGAAGCAGATACAGAATTGCAGGAGGCTAAAATGGCAATGTTTTAAAATAACAGAGAAACTTAAGAAATGCTTTCTTCACTATTATTTCTCAGTGACTGGAATTTCCCAACACTTAGGCTTTAATTTTTCTGTCTCCTGGAATTTCAATCAGATAGATAATTATTATATTAATGTAGATACTACCTACTCCCTTCCACCACCACCACCCCCCAAAAATACATAAAACAAGCACAAAACAGAGAACCTAAAGTGAATTAAAAAGGAGCTCAAAAATCACACAGAGAAGGTAGACAATACCTCTTTGGGCACTTAATGTGGTTCTGAGCTTCCCCTCCGTTGAGACAATCCAGAACTGAGCTGCCATAGTTCTCATTGTCAGAGAAAGGAAGACATGGGAAGTAGTGGTGACTGTCAAACCTTTGTGGCACTTAATAAGATCTATGTGTTTCATATCCTCTTTACACTAAACTTATGAATATCTAGTGTTTTGAAGAAGAGAGTGCATATTTTCTTGATCCTCAGCTTGTTAAGTTTAATCATTGTCTCATACTTAGAAGGAAATGTGTCTAATTTCAAAATGGTTTGACATGGAGCTGCCTGTAAATGGAAGTGAACGTTTATATTTGCTAAAAAGACTAGTTTTCTAAATAAATAAAAACTAGAGAAGCAATCAGTCAAAACTCATTATCTTTTTTTTTTTTTTTTAAGGTTTTATTTATTTATTTGACAGAGATAGCGAGAGCAGGAACACAAGCAGGGGGAGTGGGAGAGGGAGAAGCAGGCTTCCTGCCGAGCAGGGAGCCTGATGCGGGGCTCGATCCCAGGACCCCGGGATCATGACCTGAGCCGAAGGCAGGCACTTAACCAACTGAGCCACCCAGGCGCCCCAAAACTCATTATCTTTTTACTCCTAAACCAGTTTGGAGAATTATTTTTTTCTTTTAGTATATCTAAACCTGATTTAGGATATAATGTTTTAAAGGTATCTTTTAAGATGAGATCAAATCATAAACACTCTTAGTAATTTTCATGTTTCTTTATGCCAGCTACACAGTGATTTTGGCTTATCCAAAAAAAGGCTATTGCATAATAAATAGTATATTAACTAAAAACACTGGTTTTATGAAGTTTGGGGTTTTTTTAAAAAGTAATTTTGTACTATTTCTTTTTTAATAATTCGGTAAACGGATGAATGCTTCCTAACACATTTTTCCTAAGCATGTCTAACAAAGTTAAAAATTATTCATTAACTTTTTATGCAGATATTAAATGGAATCAATTTTATTTAGCTTTAATTTTTCTAGTAGTTTAATACAAAATTAGCATTTGGTACTGAAATGATTAAGCAGAGAGATAATATTTGATATATGGTTTTTATTAGCTAGTCAATAACGTTGTTCTGCCAGGTAACAAAAAAGAAAATTTTCTGCAGATATAAGCATAAGTAAATTATTTCTTTTAGTTTCTGGGGATGTGATCTTTCAGCAAATGTAGCACATAAAAAGAAAGAAATGAATCTTAAACCGTATTAATTATATGACATATAATATATGTATATTATGATTAAGTAGTTTAAATACACTTTTACCAAAGTGTTTAAATAAATTCATTATATTTATTGTCTCTGTGCTTAACTTCCCCTAATAAAGTAAAGGACTTCTACTAATTCATTCTATAACATTGCTAGAGTAGTGTTCTTTACTTTTAAAATTGGTAAATAAGAGGAATGCTTATTTTTCTTAAAACCTTGATAGTGGAAGAAGAGTAAAGTGTAAATTGAAGTTTCCTTTAAAGTAATTTTGTAAAGGGGCTCCTGGGTGGCTCAGTTGGTTAAGCAACTGCCTTCGGCTCAGGTCATGATCCTGGAGTCCTGGGATCGAGTCCCGCATCGGACTCCCTGCTCAGCGGGGAGTCTGCTTCTCCCTCTGATCCTCCCCCCTCATGCTCTCTGTCTCCCATTCTCTCTCTCAGATAAATAAATAAAAAATCTTTAAAAAAAAAAAGTAATTTTGTAAAATATTTTAATGGCTCCGAAGTGCCTTAAAAAGTTTCAGATACAGCCGTAAGAATGTATCTTGTCAAAGAGGAATTCTTTTTTCCCTATTTAATATATCTGTATAATAATTTAGATATTTACTCTCCTTTGTTTCATTGGAATGTCATAAGACACAATTGATCATTAAATCTAGACCTTTTTAAAGCTCTACAAAAGAGAAACAACTGTCTTTAAGAGACAATCCTTTTATAAAATAAAAACAATTTTGCGCATCATTACTGAACATATGATTGGCAGTGCCAAACCTAAACCAAATAAGGTGGGAAAAAATATTTTTCGTCGTTTTTCATCTTTGGGCTCCCTATTCTCCTTCTTAGAATTTGGTCTCTTTTTCCCCTTAAGGTTTCCCAGTGTTTTCCCAATCTTGCCTATCTGGAAATAAAGTACTGAAGTATTAGACAGTTCTTGTTACCCTACTAGGACTACTTGAAGTTTTACAAAAAGAATGGTACAAGAAACCAATAATGGAAATATACATACATACTGCAAAAAGGAAGAGTGGATGGATGGATGGATGGGTGTGTGGATGGATGGGTGGATAGATGGGAAGGTTTCAAGCAAAGGAAGTCTTTGGACAGGACATGCACCCAGGACTCACTATGTAGTGATGATCTGACCTGGTGAGAAGGGGGGAGTCTGTCAAATAGATTCTACCACTACTTTTCTACTGTGGTGTATCTCAACCACTAACATGTAATCCTGACTTTTTTTTTTATCATTTGTCTGGTTTGAAATCAAATGCCTTTTTGTTTGTTTGACTGTTTAAGGCTGAAAGAGCATATTCCTTTTGTGGGACTATTGAATACATGGCACCGGATATTGTCAGAGGGGGAGATTCAGGACATGACAAGGTATGTTCTAGACTTCCTTATATCTCCATAAAATGTTTAATAAGAACCCTAGTTAATAACTCGGGTCCAGTCTCTTCATCAGAGCCCTCTTTCTGGTATTGTCTTACCTTCATTGTTTTCTCTCCTTTGCTTTGAATACATGAACAAATTATGATATCTAGAGTTTTAGAGGAAGAAGATAGACTTTGTTGATTATCTCTTCAACAGAAATAAGCATTGTAACAATCCTTGGAGAAAGAAAAAAATCCTGCATTCAAGATAGTCCAGGTTTGTTTTCCTTAAGCCCTCTAAAAACCTCACTTCCCTTTGTGCAAAGTAAAGATTGTAGAGGAAGCATCTTAAGCAGTTTTGTTATAAAATCTAGGTCACATATTTTTTCTTCCTGTATTAAAGGGTAAGATTTCTTTGGTGCCATCTTAATGCTTTTGCTGTATTAATAATTTTCTCCAAATAAGGAATTTTGACTATTTTTTTGTTCCTCATCGTCCCTTCTCCCTCATCCCCTTTCAAAATCCCACATATTCAGTCCAAATATCTTAAGTGTGGAGAATCTTTGGTCTCCTTACTAATAACTAATCATATACTTAAAGCCTGTTCTTCAAGTTGGTATGGTATTGGTTTCAGGCCATATGATTAGGAATCTGATTGTTGATCTGTATCATCTCAACAGCTGGTTTTAAATCCAACAGCAAAACATTCTGAGGGTCCTGACTCCGGTGGCAGTAAAACGGCTTGTATAAATAAAATAATTGAATTGCTGGTTTCATTTACTGCATGGTATTCTTTGAAACTGTTGTCCTCAACAGTTTAATAGGAATTTATAACTGTTAAAATTTGAAAATTACCTTCTACGACCTAATGTAACCAATTTTTAAGGATGAAAACCTTATAGAACCTCCAAGAATTCCTGTATACCTGAGTCTGGAATATAGCTAGTCAATAAATACTCTTTCCTGTTCGTGGAACACCTTGATGACTTTGAGGTAATTAAATGTGACAATATATGCAAAGCGCTTATCAGTGTACCTGGCTCCACACTGTTCCTTTTATGATTGCAGACAGCCTGATCATGTTTTATATGTCATCATTATGTATTTTCTTTAAAATAGCTCTAGGTCCATAAATTTTGCATCATCTCTCTGAAATCTTTGCCCTGAAATTTGGAAGCAGGGTTAAAAATTTTAGCATCCAGTTAATATCTCTTGGTATAAGCTTGTGTATTCAACAAATACTGAAATTTTGATTTGCCTAATTATAAAAGAACTAATGTCAGGGTTCTTTAAACTCTGCTCTCAGTTCAGGTAACTGCATTTATAAGTTGGTTTCCAATTTAGATCTCATTTTATTTTATATTATTTAAGTATCTTCATGTTTCCCACAATTGAAGACTCAAATAAATGAAGATGTATGTGATAGGTCCTATAAGAAGAATTGAAAATTTAGGTGGTTATGAAATATGGTATCATTAGATGGGATTTTTTCATTTTTGTTCTTTGAGTTCAAGGAATTTCATAATACTTATTGGAGCTAAATAATTAATAAAAATGCTGAATGTTCCTTTTCTTTTTTCCCCCATAATAAGTCTAAAGAGTTTACTTAAAATTTTTAAAATTTGGAGTGCCTGGGTGGCTCAGTTGGTTAAGCGACTGCCTTCAGCTCAGATCATAATCCCAGAGTCCCAGGATTGAGTCCCGGATCAGGCTGCCCACTCAGTGGGGAGTCTGCTTCTCCTTCTGACCCTCCCCGATCTCGTGCTCTCTCTCTCCCTTTCTCTGTCTCTCTCTCTCACTATCAAATAAATAAAATCTTTAAAAAATAATAGTAAAATAAAATTGAAAAAAAATTTTTTTAATTAACCAAAATAAAACCATTACTTAATGATTTAGGAAATAATGAAAGCACTTTTAGCCCCTTGATTGACTATCACTGTGTTTAAATTCTATTCTGAGAATACCCGGATATTTGTTCTCTAAATGTCTTTCTTGCAAGTGTTTAATTTAATACTTCTTACACAGAAAGCTATATACAAAATCTTCTTGTTAAAATATTTTTCAAATATATAGTTTTATTCTGTTCATTCTCCTTTCTTATAAAATATATATTCATATTCTATAAAATGATATTATTGTTTTATAGGCAGTTGACTGGTGGAGTTTAGGTGTTCTAATGTATGAATTACTAACTGGAGCATCTCCTTTCACTGTCGATGGGGAGAAGAATTCCCAAGCTGAGATATCTAGGTAAGACTTAACAAAATAAAATAAATGTATTGTTTTCTGAAAGAAACTTATCAAATTTCTGAAATTAAGGCTGATAGAAAAGATAATCTTTTAAATGAGGGTAGACAAAATAATGTTCAAGTGGTAAACTTCTATTTATATTCATATAGAATGTAGATATATAACATTTATATTTCTTTATATTTTATGTGCCCACTTAGATCTTAAGTCTCAAAAGGATAGTGTCAAATTTTTTATGCGATCCAAAGCACTTCATATATTATCTTAATCTAGCACATCATATATTGAGAAGTGTATTTGTTGGACATTTTTTCCCTACTGTATCCCGAATGTAATTTCTTTGCAAATAAAGAAAAAGTAGTGATATTTTCAACTCACGGATATATAGGCTCAATAGAAACAAATACCATAAAATCACCCTCCTGTAGGTTACCAGAGTAGCTTATTCTATTCTTTTCTTCATAGCTGCTGTCACAATTGCAGTGTTTCATATGTGTTCATAGTTACTTGAGTAACGTCTGTCTGTCCCACTAGATTGTAAGCTCTGTGAGAGCAAGGCGCATGTCTGGCTTTGACCTTCAGGATTGTATGCTCATGTGCCAGGACAGTGCTTACTGTGCAGAATTCAGTAAATATTTTTGGAATGAAATGGATTAATGAACAAATAAACGAATGGTGATAAAACATTATACTAATTACTAGTTATGTTTTTGTCCTATTTTTACTTGAATTTTATAACTTTGAGAACAGATATGACATTAAAAATTAAAAATTGAGACTTCCACCAAGATGGAATAACAGGGACCGGATTTACTTTCCTGCCTGAAACAATTTTTAAAATGGGCAAAATATATGAAACAGCACTATCGAAGACATGAGCATCTAGCAGTGAAGGACAGTGAACACAGAGAGACGGAAAATAAACGAGGTGAGCCCTCTGATCGCCCAGCTTACTGCCTTGAGAGAGTATCCAGGCTGCAACACAGGGAGGGGAGGCCCAGGCAGAGTTGAGGAGATGGAACTGAGTCCAGGAGGACCACGCAGCTAGAGTTTGCAGGGCAGAGTCAGAGGGACGTCCAGAGACTTGCAGAAGGTACCCCTTGGGTATTCAGTGAAGTATTGATAAGCACTCGTGTGTGAGGGAGCTACTCAGTATAGTTCAGATGTGATTTCTCTCTAAACTGATCTATAGATTCATCACAGTCACAATCCCAGCAGGCTGTTTTGGGGGTTTTTTTGTTTTGTTTTCTTTTGTTTTTCTGTAGAAGTTGACAACCTAAAATTCATAGAGGTATGTAGAGGACATAGAATTGCCAAATCACCTTTGAAAAAGTAGACCAAAGTTGATTTCAGGGCTTATAAGCTACACTAATTAGAACACTGTGGTGTTCATATTGAGATACACAAATCATCAATGAACTAGATTAGGAAGTCCGGAAACGAAACCACACAGATATAGACCATTGTTTCTGGGTTTTTTTGTTTTGTTTTGTTTTGTTTTTTTACAAAGGTGCAAAGTCAGTTTGGTGGAGAAAAGATAGTCTTTTCAACAAATGCTAGAACCATTGGCTATCATATGGGGGGAGAATGAACTTCAATAAATACTTTGCACTTTATAGAAAAATTAAAAATAGATCATAGACCTAAATGTAAAATCTAAAACTACAACATTTCTGGAAGAAAACATAAAGGAAAATCTTTGTGACCTTGGGTTAGGCAAAGATTTCTTAGATAGGACACAAAAAGTGCAATCCATAAAAGAAAACACTGATAAATTGGACTTCATCAAAATTAAATACGTGTGCTCTTTGAAGGAAACCAAGAGAGTGGAAAGACAAGCCAGAGTGGGAGAAAATGACAAATCCTTCATCTGATAGATGACTGGTATCCAGAGTACATAAGGAACTCTCAAAACTCAAGGTGAATAAAAGCCCTCCATTTTGAAAAATGGGCAAAAGATTTTAACAGTTCACCAGAGAAGATCTATGAGCGGCAAATAAGCAGGTGAAAAGATGACCAATATCATTGGTCTTTAGGGAAATGCAGACTAAACCACGGTGAGGTGCCATTGTGTGCTCACTGGAGTGGCTACCAATGAAGAGTCGAATTGTAGCAGGGTTCTCTGGAGGAACAAAACCATTATGATTATGGAGGCTGAGAAGTCCCAGGATCTGCCGTCTGCAAGCTGGAGACCCAGTCCTGAAGATAAGAGGAGCCTGTGGGTGTAAATCCCAGTCCAGTGGCAGAAGACCAGCTTCCTATGTTAAGCAGGCAGGCAGCAAGGGGCTGAATCCTCTCTTCCTCTGCTTTTTTTTTTTTTTTTTTTTGTCTACTCAGGCCCTCAAGGGATTGGTTGCTGTCCACCCACCCTGGGGAGAGGATTCTACTTTACTGAGCCCACCAATTCAGATGCTAATTTCATTGAGAATACCCTCACAGATACACCCAAAGCAATGTTAAATTTGGGCAACCTGTAGCCCAGTCAAGTGACACTTTGGATTAACCATCACAAGTCCATCCCTGTCAGTTTGGCAGCCATGCACATCTCCTTAAACTGAACTTAATCTCCCAATAAAGACAATAACGAGGTCATAATTCCACCAAACGTGATACAGCTATCCTACATACAATGGAAAACACACTAACCCCTTATATAAAATCCTTAACTGATGTTCGCTCTTCTTGAAATCCCATAACTTAGATACTATGATAAAAATTAACAGTACTTAAATGTCATGATATAAAGTCAATGCATCTTGTCTTACATGATAAAGGAATAAGAGAGGAAAGACAACAAAGACATATTGTAACATATATATTAAAATGATTTATGCACACGTATTCCTACACAGATATACTCATAACAAGAGGAGGAAGTACAGCGATTTTTGTAATGGTTATGGGGTCATAGGTGGTATTTATGACTACTTTCTTCCACTACCAACTCTGTATTCCCCTCGTCTTCACCAGGTATCTTGTGGGATGACCCAGACAGTCAATCCTGAAGAAGCTGGGCCTTTAGTACTTCTGCCTAGATTGGGTTGTTATAGTTTTCAATTGACCTTAATCACAGGGCATGGTAATACTAATAGATACCCTAAGGGATCTCCTGTATTTCAGACACTCTTCCTTACTTTCATTGTGGAGTAGTAGTCCAATTTCCCCTTGGTAGTGAGGATCGATCACACCAGCCAGCATGAGAACTCCCTTCTTTGCTGTTGATTTAGAGGCACAAGGAGCCCAAAGTAGCTGGGTGGCTGTCTTAATTTCCAACTCAATGGAATCATTCATTGTGTGTCTCTTGGTGGAAGCATTCCTTTTCCTAGAACTAAGACCTCTAGGCTAACAGAGCATAAAGTCAGGGGAACAGGAGGCAAACATTTTGCTAGTGAGTCACTTGGGAGTACTCGTGAGTGGTGCCATTCCCAGTTCCACCCCATGATTTCTGGGTCCATGAATCCTGGTAGGGGAGAAACTGCACCATATATTGGATGTGGATTCAGAGCATTTACAGCCTTCTGGAGAACCTTGCTAGAGCCCTGAGACATATTGTCACCTAGCTCACACTGTAACTGTGTCTTCAAAAAGCCATTCCACCGTCCTATCACACCAGTTCCTTCAAGATGGTAGAGAACTTGGTAAGCCCAGTGAATTCCATGAGCGTGGGCCCACTGTACACTTCTTTTGCTATGAAGTGAGTTACTTGATTAGAAGCCATGCTTCGTAGAATACCATGACAGTGCTTAAAGCATTTTGTAAGTCCACAGATGGTTGTTTTGGCAGAAGCACTGCATGCAGGGAAAGTAAATCTGTATCTAGAGTAAGCATCTGTTCCAGGTAGGATGAAACATTGCCCCTTCCGTAATGGAAGCAGTCCCATGTAATCAACCTGCCACCATGTAACCAGCTGACCACCTTGGGCATTGGTGCCATATTGGGCACTCAGTGTTGGTCTCTGCTGTGGGCAGATTGGGTGCTCAGCAGGAGTCATAGCCAGGTCAGCCTTGGTGAGAAGTCCATGCTGATCGGCCCGCACATAACCTCCTTCCTTACCACACAGCCACTATGTTCATGGCCCACTGTGCGATGATAGGGTTGACTGGAGAAAGAGACTGACTGGTATCTACAGAAGAGATCATCCTATTCACTTGATTATTAAAATCCTCCCTGCTGAGGTCACCCTTTGGTGAGCATTCACGTGGGACAGAAATACCTCCACATTTTTTCTCCCCATTCAGAGAGGTTTACCATGTACCTCTTACTCATATATCTATGTCAACCAGACTTCCTTGTCACCAATATTCTTTTTTTTTCTTTCTTTCCTTTTTTTTTTAAATTAACATAATGTATTATTTGTTTCAGGGGTACAGGTCTGTGATTCATCAGTCTTACACATTTCACAGTGCTCACCATAGCACATACCCTCCCCAAAGTCCATCACCCAGCCACCCCATCCCTCCCACCCCCCACCACTCCAGCAACCCTCAGTTTGTTTCCTGAAATTAAGAGTCTCTTATGGTTTGTCTCCCTCTCTGGTTTCGTCTTGTTTCATTTTTCCCTCCCTTTCCCTATGAGCCTCTGTCTTGTTTCTCAAATTCCTCATATCAGTGAAATCATATGATAATTGTCTTTCTCTGATTGACTTATTTCGCTTAGCATAATACCCTCTAGTTCCATCCATGTCATTGCAAATGGCAAGATTTCATTTTTTTGATGGCTGAAAAATATTCCATTGTGTGTATATGTGTGTATATATATAGATAGATAGATATAGATATATAGATATACACACACCACATCTTCTTTATCCATTCATCTGTTGATGGACATCTAGGCTTTTTCCATAGTTTGGCTATTATGGACATTGCTCCTATAAACATTGGGGTGCAAATGTCCCTTCAGATCACTACATTTGTATCTTTGGGGTAAATACCCGGTAGTGCAATTGCTGAGTCATAGGGTAGCTCTATTTTCAACTTTTTGAGGAAGCTCCATACTGT